AATGCCCTGGTGCAACTGGCAGAAAACATGGACAGCACCCCCTTCTCCAGCCCCTCCTGAGTGCTCAACATCTTCCCTTTTCAACTTTCAACATTTCAAATGACTACGAGCAGAATTACCAGAAATAGTAGTAAATTCCTGGCATTTGAGGTTCCCATGATCCCAGCTGGCAGGCGAAAAAGACTCTCTTTTCTCCCTTGGAAATAATGTACTTCCAGGCGCTGTCCAAATGCCACAGATCAGGCAAATGAGATATTTGTTTTGACCAACCAATGAAAAGACTCTGCCACTGCTAGTCCAGGGCCGAGAAAGACCCAATTACAAGTACACACAAGATGTCCGCGTCAAAAGACATTTAATTGATTTCTCTAAAATGATTTTAACATTTCCTTGCAAGGAGAAGCTCTGATTTCTCTTAATGTTATTTTCAGAGGAGCATGGAAGACACTTGATTTTCTCCCCTGCTATAAATATGACAATCTGAGCATGTTTTTGTTCAAAGCACTTTGAAATGGTGTGTAGACATCACCACAATGTCTAGACAACAGCACCATGGCTCGATCCTGAGATCATCAAACTTCACAGAGATACAGCTCTGGGCTCCAAAGAGGAAAGTGCCCTTTCTCATCTCTCCCTTGGGAAAATTAATCTCATTTCATTTTGTTGCCTTTGTGTGGCTGGTTGGCTCAACCAAAAAATATGATAATGTCTTTTTTAAATTAGAGGGCAAGAAATGAAAAGTTTCTTTTTGGAAATAATAAGTCCTTTTTGGAAATAATAATGAAGTCCTTACTCTAGGGACCTCAGTGGCATCAGGTCTGCTGCCATAGAAGAGGCATGGTGCCTGTGTTTCAGACTAAGTGGACACATCCTGTGCTATGTGTCTTTTAGCATCGCTTGAAGAATTTGTGCTCTAGTGTCTGCATGTTCAAATGTCCTAAAATTGAGCTGATCCTTACTGAATATTCTGAAAAGGTTGAAAACTCTGCCTGATAGTAGTTAGCACTTTATCTTTTCAACAAATCATCTTTGTTCATCCACTGCTGTTTACACCACTGTCAATATAGCAAATTTCTAAAATTAGTTCATGCTGTGCATTTATTTGATAGGTAAGAAGGTTTACAGCTGCATGATCAGTTATGATACTTCAATAAAGTCATATATATATATTTGACATAGACAT